AGGAAAAAAAGTAATCAGAGTCCCTTAATCAGATTTTGTCTAGTGTACCAGGGTGGAAGGCAGGCAGATCCCATAGGACTAGTATGGTGAAGAACACACTTTTATTTTCTTATAAAATAAACCTGTCCACAAACAGACAAATTACTTTCTAAGAATACTTTAGAACGGAGATAAGAGTGGAAGTTTTAGAGATGTTCACTGCTTTGTAAAGGTTCTGAGTTGGCTTCTATCCTATTTCTACAACTATTCCCTCAAATCTTACTCCTGCCAGTTCTTTTCTCTTCCTTACCTCTAGGATGCCTTCACTCTGGGATTAGTTTATCAAGGGATAGGCAGGGAGTAAACCAATCTTCCGTTTAGATCATCTGTTCACTCCTACCATTGTAAATGATTTCCCCTGTTTATTCTTCCTGATATTACCAACACTTGTTGATCACATTGTTCTTGATTCTCTTTCTGACTTCTAAAGGTATTTTAAAAAGAAATATTTCCTATATTCTTAAAAAACCATATCATGTATTATTTTTCTGTGTGATTTAAAACATTTTTCTTGCCTCTTAGATTAAATATTCACCTTCAACTTTTGTTCAAATGAATTTTCCCTTCATATGTAGAAGAGGTACCCATCCTCTTTCCAGATAATCACACATTTTAAATTAATATATTTCAATATGAACTTCCTCTATCCCAGAGAAATTAACTCAGACTGAATCTGTGGACCAACCTACAATTTGAACCTGAAATGAACCTTATTTATTAAAGAATTAACTACTGAGCTCAGTGACTGCTTTTCTACATCCAAATAGTGAATAGAATTATTATCTAATATGGAAAATAAAACCAACTAAAACTCAACAAACCAAATTCTAATGAATTACTGGAGACTTGGCGAACACCCAGTGAAATCTTAAAGTGGCAATAGGCAGTCACCTCACTCTCAATGCATTTCTGAATTTATCAGATCCTGAATATATTATGGCCATTATCCACTTTTTAAAATGTTTCCGAATTATGCAGTAGGAGATGCTTCTGTAATTTGAAATGATTTTTTTGGCATCTTAGAAAACTTTTCATATTCTGAGAATTTGTGAGTTCACATATTTTAAATAGGCGGTTGTGTACCTTTCATTTTGTCTTCTTCCCCTCACTGTAAATATCAGATGCTCTAATTAAAGAAATACATGAAACTGGAGTACAAAATAGATGGTGTGTCTCCCAAAAGTACAACTTTGAAAGAAAAAAAAAATTCTTGTAAAGCAACAGGAATGTACTCTGTGATTATGTGCTCTGGGGCAGTAACACAGCAAACATGATGGGGATTACAAATTTGCTTGCTTTGGCAGGAAGGATATGCCTATTAACAGAAACCAGCTGTTCAGAAAAACTGCGATGCCCAAAGTAGTAAAAGGATGTCTTAATTTAGCTCTGGGCCACATTTATTATTGCTGAAGATTTTTTTAGAAACTATCAACTCCATTCAATTAATAGTGTTCTCGTGAATGTATGTAACACAAAGGAAATATTAAGAATAGTTCATCTAAAGTAAATCAATCTGTATGTCTTAACAATGCCTTTCTTTTACCACAGAATGTCTCTAGGCTTTCTGACTTGTCATTTTTTATCTAGGACGCAAGGAAGCAACTTAATCACGTTGTTAGAAACTGTTTATGTTTTCAGAGTGAGCAACAGACTGTATAGGTCACTTGGAACCTGTACGTTATACACTTAGAGCCTGATCATTGTGGAAGGAAGAGAGCTGCATTTAGGATTAACTGAGCATCAATTCTCTCTGCTTTTCTTAATTTATATTTTTTGTGCAAATATCTTATATCCTCCTAAATCTCAGTAAAATTATGTGGAAACATAAAAATATGGCTTTTAGAAATATTGCACAAAGATAGCAAAAGATCTAACTGGAATATACTTAGTCTGAAACATAAAGGTCTAGTTTGAAGCTCTGGGACTTCTTTATCTTCATAGTGATTCCTTTGTTTTTTTTTGTCATCTTTTATAATAAAAGGATGTTTTACTGAGAATCTGCTAATGGTCAAATGAAATGACAAGTGCTTTTTATACAACATTCAATAAGACAGATTTTTCTCTTGCAACTCAGTGAAGGTAAAACAATCAGGTGTTTACAAATCTAAGCCATAAGTACTATGGAGACATTCCAAAGATTACAGGAGTACAAAGACTCAGCACTAAAAAGAGGCAACTGAGTCCGCCTTGGGTGTGGGGTGCGTGTGTGTGTGTGTGTGTGCGTGCGTGTGCATGTGTGTATGTATACATGTGTACACAGGCATTCTTGCAGAGGGAAGAGATGCTGTAAACAAGAATTGAAATATTGATTCAATTTAATTTAATCTGGTGGACAATACAGGGAAAGGCATTCTAGACAATGGGATCAGCATAGACAGAGGTTTCTGAAGAAGAGCAACTGGGCTGGGTATGGTGCCTCACCCCTGTAATCCCAGCACTTTGGGAGGCCAAGATGAGCAGATCATGAGATCCAGAGATTGAGACCATCCTGGCTAGCATGGTAAAAACCCTGTCTCTATTAAATAAATAAAAAAATTTGCCGGGCGTGATGGAGGGTGCCTGTAGTCCCAGCTACTCGGGAGGCTGAGGCAGGAGAATCATTTGAACCTGGGAGGCAGAGGTTGCAGTGAGCCTAGATTGCACCACTGCACTCCAGCCTGGGTTACAAGAGTGAGACTCTGTCTGAAAAAAACAACAACAACAAAAAAGAAAGAGCAACCAAGTGTCAAGCTTTTTCAAAGAGTGTCAGAGGACTGATGTGTAGCAGATGTCAGAGATGTATGTAGAGGGCTAGTCAACGAAGACTTTGTGAGTAATGGTAAGAAGTTTATCCTAAAAGCAAGGGGGAAAATCTTGAAGGATTTTAAGTAAATAAACGATACTACAGTTAAGATGTTAGAAATATTAACACCTCTGTTCTTTTAGGATATCCATCTGCCTAGGTGGTTAGAGCCTAGGCAGAGTTTTGATCTTAAAAGACCCTTCAGGCCAAATCTAACCTGTTACACAGTGTTAAATATCCAGAACTGAGGATATTTTCTGGTACGATGGATGAACCAGGTAATTTTTTTTTAGTAGGTGAATAGATAAATGAATAGGCTGGGCACAGTGGCTCACATCTGTAATCCTAGCACTTTGGGAGGCTGAGGTAGGTGGATCACCTGAGGTCAGAAGTTCAAAACCAGTCTGGCCAACATGATGAAACCCTGTCTCTACTAAAAATACAAATAATTAGCCAGGCCTGGTGGCGGACACCTGTAATCCCAGCTACTCAGGAGGCTGGGGCAGGAGAATTGCTTAAACTTGGGAGGCAGAGGTTGAAGTGTGCTGAGATCGTAACTGCACTCTAGCCTGGGCAACAGAGCGAGACGCCATCTCAAAACAAACAAATAAATAAATGAATAAAAAAGTCTGTGGGCATCTAATCAACTCTCTTTTCCAGACATCATACAGAAGCTGTGATATGGCCTGACCTCAACTTACAATATTTAATTTATCCCATGCCTCATTAGGACTGTGCTTGAGCAAACTCTCAATTTGGTTTTTGTCAGTCAGAAATTTGAATTGTTACAACAAAAATATATCGAAATTCCATTCTCATGTTAGTGTCTTAGGTGTTAGGTGACATAAAGACAACAGATCTGGAACTTTATCATTAAGCAGTTCAGAATCTCACCTGTCTTTTATAAACAGTTTTGAAAATATCTTGTATATTACTGTACATAGTTGAATCTTCATTGTGTCAAGGTAGTTCAGGAATTATCATCATTATTTAATGTTGTATTGTTTTAATTTTTTTCTTTTTACATTAGAGATGGGGTTACACCATGTTGCCCAGGCTGGCCTTGAACTCCTGAGCTCAGGTGATCCACCTCCCTTGGCCTCCCACAGTGTTGGGATTACGGGTATGAGCCACTGTGCCCAGCCAAGTGTATCAATTTTCTAACCACTCAAAGATTCGATATTATTTTAGTTTCATAAAAGTTTGCCAAATCTCTAAGTAAAAATAGCTCTCTTTAACTTTACTTTATAAATCAATTAACAATTTAAAACCTGATGATATTTTGCTATCCACAACATATCACTGCACAATTGATACTAATTCCATTTGTACAATACAAAAAATGTTTCATTTTAACAGACAGCAATAGACAATTCTGCAATTTCAGGGAGAAAAGCTTTTTTAATTTTGCCATTTTAACATATACAGACGTGGTTTGCATTTTATACTTAACTAAGCTGAAGTTCTTTCAAAATCTTAAATCTTAAATTCTGTTCTGTTCACTTTGAATTTCTTTTTCACATCCCATTTTCTTAACTGCTTTATAGACTCAAAGGTTTAGGGAAGTTTCTGGGGTCCTTATAACAGTATTTGGGAGAGAACTTTCAATAATTTTTTTTGATATTGTTTTTGCAAGTTAATGGCATTTATGAGAAAAACTATTAAATTCTTAGACAGGAACATGTGAAAAATAAATGTTAGAACAAAATAATGCCTACAGTCAATTGTTTTGATTTTTCATTTTGGATACATGAGGTCAAACAGCATGAAAATCTCTAGTTTTAAATTTACCTTCACAGCTAACATTTTTAATATACCATACGTAGAAAATATAAAATTCTCACTGTCTAGATTGATACAAATTATCTTTATTTAGGAAATTATATTTAATATGACTAGAGTATATATTGTAAGATTACTGCTGCACTACTGTAAATTTTTGAATGTTAGATGCTTACGTTTTGCTCATTTCAGTAATTTTTTTGCACTCATTTTCTTTTCAAGTAGAAGAGAAAAGAAACATTTAAATCTGTAAGAAAATTACATGGTACATTCATAGTTCTCAATTACTGGGCCAATTTGAAGTGTTGTTCAGCTATGCCATTAAATAAGCACTAAACACATTTTGAAAATTGATAAAAAGAGTCTAAAACTTTATTTGGTGATATCTGATAGATTTCTTTTCGAGATGATAGACTTGGTTGGCTTCTCATAGGGGCAAACAGGACCAGAACATTTCCGAGCCTGCTCGGCCATGTCTCTATCCCTGAGCCTGAGCAGAGCCATTGCATTAGTGAAGGTGAGTCTTCTGATGACCCTGAAAAGGCCATTGGAGGGGCCTCAGGGATATTGAAAAGGAGCATCGCCTTTTGTTAGAGCTACTTAATACATCTCTGGTGAGTGCTTAGTTTTTTTCCCTAAAAATAACAATAACAAAAACAATCACAATTAACTTTAATTAACAGCTTATAATGTGCCTGTGTGCTCACTGCTTTAGGAGAGATCATTTCTTTCAATCGGGCTGTGTGAAGTAGGTTTAATGTGTACATTGTAGAGATAAGAAAATTGAGGTTTACAGGAATCAGGCAGTTTATCAACAGTCATGAGAAGAGTCAGTAAGAGATACTGTGGCTCTCACCCCAGAGCCCATGTCTTCCATCACTGTATTGGCAGTTTCTGTCTTGATCCCACTGTACTACACCAGCCCTGTTTGGAAGCAGGCATATGTTCCTCAACCCAGTCTCTTTCTAGTACTCAGGGCATGGGTGGGTACCTAAGGTCCTCATGGTTTTTTTCACTCTTCCTTATCATAATGTGCTTATAGAGAATTATATAATACTTTAGTATCTCAGAGTTAAAAACTAATTGACATAGTTTTTTTTCTCTTTTTGGGACAGAGTCTTGCTCTGTCACCCAGGCTGGAGCACATTGGTGCAATCTTGGCTCACTGTAACCTCTGCCTCCCAGGCTCAAGCGATTCTCCTGCTTTAGCCTTCCGAGTAGCTGGGACTACAGGCACATGCCACCAAGCTTGGCTAATTTTTTT